CCATGTCTTTTCATAGCTTTATAACTCATTTCTTTTTAGTCTGAATAAATTCCATTGTTTGGATTTACCACAGTTTGTTTATCCATTCATCTACTGAAAGAAACTTTGGTTGCTTACAAGTTTTGGTTCCTTTCATGCAACTTCTATCTCTTAATTCATATTCTCATTTTGTTCATACATTATTTTCCTGATTTCCTTTAGTTCTTTGTCTGGTTTTGTTTTTTTTTTTAGCTCATAGAACATATTTAACACAGTTGATATAACCTCTTTGACTAATATTTCCAACATCTAGGCTTCCTTGGGGATAGTTTTCCTGTGAATGTGCCGTGTTTTTCAGTTTCTTTGTCTGTTTTGTAAGTTTTTTGAGGAACTGGGCATTTTGAGTATTATGTTATAGTAACTTGGGAAATCTAGTTCTCCCACTCCTCTAGGGTTGCTGAATGTTGCTTGTTGAGGGCTGGAGTCCATTTCTGACTTTTCCAAACTATTTTTACAAAGTATGTATTCCTTTTGCACACAAAGTGTGCAAAATTATTGGACCACTGAAGTTTCTGTTCCTTTATCTTTGCAGTCAGCCAGTGACATGACAAAAATTTCCTTAAATGTCTGGCTCCCAAAAGGTGTACGTGGGCAGAGTACTGTTGCTTTAAATTCCCTAGATGCCACATCAGCTCTTGGGGGTTGAAACAGTGGCCACTAACTCTTATGCTGGCCTCTTAGTGACCAAAAGCAGCAATTGGCAATCAGAACACAATCCCACTATTTGGCGGCAAGGTCCTTATTGCCCATTCAAGTTCCAGCAAATTGCACCAGGAACATGAGCAGCTGTCCACACTGCTGTCTACATGGGGCTGGGGGTTGAGGAGCCATGAAATAGGTTGAAATGCACCAAAATTTACCAGCCTCTTCAACCAGCCCTCCAGAGTTCCAAAAATAATTTACTTCAGAGAGTGGCTACCAGTACCAGTTCAGTAAATCAAGGGGCAGATTACTGGAGCTTCCTACTCTGCCATCTTCTCTGACATCATTCTCATATCCCAGTTTTGATTTGAGATTTACGCTGACTTACTAACAAAGCTCTGTGGGTAACCTGCTTGTTCTCAAGAAGGTTTTAGAATCTGCTCTTAATCTCTGGTGCTCCCAAATTTTATGATGATGGGTCTTGATTTGTGCCAGACACCTGATTGGCTCTTTGAATCTAGAGGCTAATGTTTGTCAAATCTGTTTTCTCAGAATTCCTATTAGTCAACTTTTGGACCTCCTAAAGGTGATTCCATAATTTTCATGTCTTTTCTCTCCTTATTTTCTGGGAAGTTTCTTCAATTACATCTTACAATCCTCCTACTGATGTTCTTATTTTGAGTATTATATTTTTAATTTCTAGTAATTTTTATTTGTTTTATGCATACTATTCTTTTAAAAATAGTACATCATTCTTGTTTGTGAATGTAAGAAATCTCTTATCTTTCTGAGGATATCTATTGTCACTGTTTTGTCTTTTAATTTTCTTCTGTCCCCTGCATTGTTTCTATTGATTCCCATCATGTTTCTTCTGCTTGCTTTGTTTGAGTTCTCTTTCATGGAGAGGTGGTGCTTCAATATTAAATGATCCTTGGCTGTTGGTTCACAATTCAGACTGAGGCTCTAACAGCTTATTGGAAGTTCTGGGTAAATGGATGGGGTTGTTAATGTAGAAGCTTTGTTCTGGGATGGTCAGGCAGTGACTTGGTCATTTTCTTGAAAGCATCTCCTAGTCAGTGCCTCCAGGTCCTTTCCTTTGGGTCAGTTTTCCCAGAGCAGAGTCTGCTGACTTCCAGCCAGTTGCAGGATGGGAAAAGAGAAAATTTTAAAAACCTGGCCACTGCACTTTTTTTTGGTAATGGCTGGGGGAGAGGGAACCTTATTGCTACCCTCAGCTGTGTCTGAGGAGACTCCCAATTTTCTGCCTGGGTGGACAAGGGGCTGTCAACCTGTCAGGGAATGAAATCCTGGCTGGGGTTAAGTCCTCTTTATATAAATATCTAACCAGTTCTTCTTTTGTTGCTTTGCCCTCCCATCCCCAACTGTCAGAGATACTTGGTGTCTCCAGTTCTGGAAACTTCCTGGGGTTCTGTGGCTCAAATCAGTTTCCTTCCCTCAATGGGCTTCAAAGCAGAGAGGACTTAAACTGAAGTCACTCACTCTGGTCCATGTACCTTTCATCTTCCAAAATGTTGCTCACATCTGGCCCCTGTTATAGTAACTTCTTCCATTCTCTTGTCTTTGAGGACAAATAGCTTTTCCTGTCCTCTTAGTAGGGTTTCAAGAGGGAAGGAAGATAAACCCATGTGTTTAAGCTGCTGTGTTGAACAGGGAGCCACTGGCCTTTTCTAAGCTTACTTTCATTAAAGAATAAACGAATGCCTTGCAGGATGTTTAAAGGGAGAAGTTGTTGAAGAAAGCAAATGTCATGAGATCAGACAGAAAATTATGGGAGAGGCAATGCATTCATACAATGGAAAACTCACCAATACAAAACAAACTGCTGGGTCGGCCGAGTGGCATGATGGTTAAGAACTGGCTTGGGA